TTAGAGCTATTCTGAAGACTAAAAAATGGAAGAAATTTAAAGGACACCTTTTAAACCTTTATTGTATATGCTGCAAATTTTGTAAGCAGAGAGAAAAATCAGCTTGGAACTTGAAATCTAAAATTTGTGTCATTTTTGGAAGACTAAAGATAGAAAACTTGATAATTTTGCAGCATAGTTATTTAGCATCCATAAAAAAGAGTATCTTTTTTCTGACCCTGATGATGGAAATGACATACAGGTTTGCACCAAAGCTAAAAAAACCTATTCAGATCAGCTACAATTTCTGAGAGCTTGAACAGGTATTTAGCAACTATAAAAAATAGGCTCTTTTTTGGATGCTGGCAGTGGAAATAACATACAGGTTTGCATCACAGTTAAAAAGCCTTTTTTACAGGCCCCAATTTCTGAGTGATTGTGCAGGCATTAAGCATCTGAAAAAAATATGGGTTTTTTGGCACTGCTGATGGCAGTATAAGGTTTGCGCCATAGCTAGAAAGCATGTCTGAACAGACTGCAGTTTCAAAGATATTAGCCAGGCATTTAACATCCTTTAAAAGACAATACTAGTGTTTATTTTTGGACACTGATTGTGGAAATAGCATATAAGTTTGCAACACAGCTAAAAAGCTGGTATGGACAGGCAGCAATTTCTGAGTGATAGAGCAGGCATCCTTTCAAAAAAAGATAAACATTAGTCTTTTTTGGAACACCTACAATGGAAATAGCATACTGGTTTGCATTATAGCTGGAAAGCCTGCAATTTCTGAGATCCTGAGCAGACATTTAGCATCCCTTAAAAATAATTAGTGTTTTTTTTTGGACGCTGACAACATCCCACATATCTCACACAGGCTTGCACTGCAGTTAAAAAGGCTGTTTGGACAGGCTGTAATTTCCAAAAGCTTGAGTAGGCACTTAGTAACTGTAAAAAAAATTATTGTCTTTTTTGCACACAGCAATGAATTTCAGCAATTTCAGCAGGAAATAGCATTCAGGTTTGCAAAGAACGAATATTAAGGTATTTTTCTTGAACACTGACAATGATAAAAGCATATAGGTTTGCACCACAGCTAGAAAGCCTTTCTGGACAGGCTGCAATTTCTGAGAGAATGAGCAGGCAATTATTATCAGGAAGTAAAAAATTAGCTCACTGAGGATGGAAAAAGCATACAGCTTAGCAACACAACTAACAGACTGTTACGGACATTCCACAGCAGGAAGGCACTTTACCAGTAAATTGTATAAAACAGCATACTTTGCACAACTTTGATGCCTTCATTGTCAGGTATGTAATTTATGAGGGAGAGAGGAACCAGATTAGAATTTGCCAAAAAATATAGTTGCTTTTCCATAGAGTGAGGAAGGACACATTTTACAGATTTGATGCCCACCTAATAAAACCTATTCACACTGTCTACTATTTGTAAGAGAGAAAACAAGCAGATTGCACCTTGCATTTCATTTTTTTTTCAAGCAACAGATGGAAATCTAAAATATTTGCCAGGACAGTTGCTATATCCTTTTTGGAGAGAGGTCACTATTTCCGAGGGACAGGGTGGACATATATAACTTTAAATCATTTAATTAGACTGTATATTTGTGGTGATATGACAAAAATATACAGGTTTTTGAAAGGGAATTTCATTCTAAATCCTTAATTGAAAGCCAATTTGGAGACGTGGGGGTTTATTTACTAAAGCTGGAGAGTCCAAAATCAGACTCCCTGCTGCATAGAAACCAATCAGCTTCTAACCTCAGCTTGTTCAATGAAGCTTTGGCAATGAAACCTGGAAGCTGATTGGTTTCTATGCAGAAGGGAGTCTGATTTTGGACTCTCCAGATTTAGTAAATAAACCCCGTGGAGTCTGCTTATTTTAGCCTGAAATTGTAAAGGAAACGGCATTTAGGTGCACACCAGTCATTGAAATTGTACAAATTTATAACAACATAATCTAATCCTTTTCGAAATTAGGCAAATATGGAGGCAGAGAGGTGGCTTGTTTCTGCTAGCAAATAAAACATTTTTTTAAAATTTTAATATATAACTGTTTAACAGATTGGATGCAAATTAATGCTTTTTTTTTTAAGAGAAGGAGTTTAGGATGCAGAAGGATGTTACAGTTCACCTAGCAATAATCCATAATACTGTTATTTCTCTGACACATAATCTAGAAATTATACCAATCATAGAAAACTTAAAAAGGGCTCATCAGAAGCAATTTGAGAGAAGAGAGAGCAGGCAGGATGCCTCCATCTGTAAATCCACAAAAAATTTTTTTCTTCCTGGGACAGAGGAGAAAAATGCTTTGAATAAATATCTGCACATAAATCAAAACACATTTTATAGGCTAGAATTTCAGGAGGTAAATAGTGGGGCTGCGCAGTTTTATATAAGGGATCATTTTTAGGCCACGCCGCTTTTAAGAGTGTTTATTCCAAATTTCAAAACCGAGGAACAACACAAGGAATATAATGTGTTATCCATTTTTAATGATGATACACTGCAATTCAACCAAAAAATTAATGGCCATTGTGATATGTCCCCAGCTCAACAATAGAACAATTTTAATGTCTGTAGATGAAGCTTTGCAAAATGTAGGTTTTGTGTATTAATAAAGACAAAGCACTTTAACCCAACATGAATATTATTGCAGAGGAGAGGATTGAATCTGGCCAAAATTGTATGTTTTGTGCTACCATCACACAGCTGCAAAAAAAAAAAAAAAAATATGGGATTTTGGGTGTTGATGGTGCCTAAACACTGTAACCCCACAGATAAAATCCTTCAATGCACAGGGTTACAGAAGTTTCAACTGTGAAACAGCTGCAAAAAAATTGAAGATGCCACATTAAGATTGAAATTGAAAAGAACACCAGCCATGGCCCCATCTTTTAGATGGTAACAGTGGCAGGCCTACAACAGTGGCTGGAGATTTTAACAGTGGCAGGTAGAGGGATATGCTAATGGTGTCTGATGGTGCTCATGGAGATCAGACATGGAAATGGTTGAAACGTATAATAATTTTTGTGGCCTTCTGTGATAAAAGGAGAATCTTTGGATGCAGCAAAAAAAAAAATGCAGAGTGGTAGGATCCCCCAAATATTTAATCAGCAACATCTGCAGCAGAGGTTTGGTATCTGCTGCTGATCAAAGACTGGTCCATTTTCACAAATGTCAGCTGATCAACAGTGTCTGTGAACAGATGCACACCTTTGTCTGTCACAAAGCCTTTCCACAAAACTGATTGCATGTTCAGAGCTCTGGCCAGTGGTCCATCTTCATGACCCAGTAGTTCAGTTGTTCATTCAGAGGGTCTCTTCATCTATTCTTGACCCAAGATAATTGCCAACCATGTGATGCAGCTGCTGATGATTGATGCTAGCAACAAACCACCCTGGGTGTCTCACTTAGGCAGCCAGCCCTCTGCAGCTCTTGCTTTCACTGACAGGAGGCTCTGAGACACCTTGTCTGTGAGACGTTATCCTGCTATCCGTTTGAAATGAGCGACACAGGTTCCTGTGTAGCACATTGTTCAATGTTTCATCTTCTGTGAGGGCAGAAAGAGCTCTGCAACTTTTTCCTTATTATCTACTGTGGAAGTAGGCTGCCTCAAATCCTTCTGTCTCTTCATGTAATCCCAGACAGACTCAATGATGTTGAGATCAGGGCTTTGTGGTGGCCAAACCATCACTTCCAGGACTCCTTGTTCTTCTTTATGCTGAAGATAGTTCTTTTTTTTTTTTTTTTTTCTCCCTGATATCTCATTCTTTCCCGGGGGAAAGTACTCAGTATTTGTGAGAGGCATTAATATAGAATTAAATTCCCATTTCATGTTTTTGTGTAAATTGTCCCATACTCTAAAGACATTTAAAGTGTAAATACTTGTGCTTTCTTTAATTCCCCTAAACTGTGGTGGAACCCATATCATCTGACTCAATCTATTGGCACTAAGATCATTTTCAATTGTTACCCAACTTTTCCCCTTATAGTTAAATGTCCAGTCATATATTCTTGCTAAAACCACTGCTTTATAGTATCTCTTGACATCTGGTAGGCCCAATCCCCCCTTCTCTTTAGTCCTACTCAATGTTTCATATGCTATTCTAGGTTTTTTATTCTTCCAAATATATCTTGTTAACATTTTTTTCATTATCTTAAAGAAGGCTTCTGGAATTTTAATTGGTACCATTTGAAATCTATACAGTATTTTAGGCATAATTACCATTTTGACTAGGTTTATACGTCCTATCCAGGATGGATTTCCTCCTTCTAGTCTTTTTAAATCTTCCCTGATCTCATTTATCAAAGAGATATAGTTTAATCTATACAAATGCTTAGATGAGGCAGTGAGTTTTATTCCTAGGTATTTTTATCTCTTTTTCTCTCCATATAAAGGGGAATTCTTTTTGTAGTAGTTTTTCTTTTTCATTCTTTGGTATATTAATATTCAGGATCTCTGTTTTCGTTGGATTAATTTTTAAATTTGATAGTTCACCATACTCCTTCAGAATCTTCATTATATTTGGGAGAGTTATTCGGGGATTCCCCACATAGAACAATAAGTCGTCCGCAAAGGCCGCTACTTTATGTTCTATGGATTCTATCTGAATTCCCTTTACCGATCCACTATTTCTTATTATTGACAACAGAGGTTTCGAGTGACAATACATATAGCAGAGGGGACAGTGGACAGCCCTGTCTTGTACCGTTAGACATTCCGATGGGTTCTGATCTCTCCCCATTTACCGTGATAATTGCAGTTGGTTTCCTATATAATTTACTTATCCACTCTCGCATTCTATCACCTATCCCCAGCACTTTTAAGTTGTCCATCATAAAGCCCCAGTCCACTCTATCAAATGCCTTTTTCTGCATCAATTGACAAGAGCACCACCGGGGCTTTCCCTTTTCTACTTTTCTGAATAAGCATCAGGGTTCTCAAGCCGTTATCTCTACCTTCTCTCCCCTGTACGAAGCCCACCTGGTCTCCATGGATCCATTCAGGCATCAGATCCGTCAACCTGTTTGCTAACACCTTTGCATACAGTTTAGTGTCAATAATAATGAGATAGGTCTATAGCTGGAGCACTGAGATGGATCTTTTCCCTCTTTGTGAATAAGTACTACATGGGCCTGTAGAGATTCTCTCCTCACTTCCATCCCACCTCCCAAAGCATTCATATATTTCTCCAACTTGGGTAGCAGTACTTCACTAAATTTCTTATAGTATTTAACTGTATATCCATCCGGGCCTGGGATTTCCCCCCCCCCCCCTGTGCTTCTTCTTAATGCTATTTTTAATTTCTTCCTGGGAGATTTCTGCATCTAGGGAGTTCAACTTTGCTTCACTTAGTTTTGGTAATCCCGCATTTTTTAAGTATGTCATCTTTTTTTCATTAATTCCCTCTTGGGCTTCTTTTAGGGGGCCTTGGGGGCTAATATTATATAACTTTTTGTAATACTCTGTAAACTCTTTAATAATCTCTTTATTTGAGTGGACCAACTCCCCCTTTGAACTTTTTATCTTTTCTATATAGTTCCTACTTTTTTTTTTATTCAAAGCTCTCATTAAATATCTTCCTGGTCTGTCTGCCCATCTATATCTTTCGTTCAAAACCCTGTTGTATACTCTTCTCTTCTCCTCTTCCATCAACCTCTCTAGCTCATCTTTTTTATCCGATAACACTGTTCAACAAATTTTTTTTATTTTTTGCCAGTTTTGGAAACAAAAGGATCCATTTTCTTAATGAATTTCACATTCTGAGTTCAAATATAACAATGAAATTTGTCAATTGGCTCTAGTTTTTCTGTAAACGGAAAGTTTTCTACTATAGGCGTAATGGCTACATAATGCACAATAATTATATAGATAGATGTCTTTCCACAAATATAAAGCAAGTGATATTGACTACATAACAAAGCCTAAATGGCATAATATATTGCATAGGATTACCAAGAAAAATTATAGCCGTAAGCTAAGTTGAATCATTTTAATACTTAGGATTCTCACTAGTTTTGTCTTCAGTTTGTGTCGGTTTTGCTTCTCTTGGCTTTTCTCTTGTATTCGAGGAAAGGGCTATCTCTTACAACTGCACGTGACTACACGCTTCAGGTTCTTCCTCACTTGACTCAACCACGAAGGATTCTGGTGCTTTAGGAATTGGTAGCCCCTCTCCATGAGGAACTGGACGTATTGCCGATGGAATATTTGGATAGTGCACAGATAACTTTTTCTTCTTATTTAGCCCTTTTACAATTGGAGGCACCATACAAAAGTAACAATTACTAACATGATCTGTTGGCTCTCTCCAAATCATTGGCACAGCGAAAGGCATAGATGCCTTTTTCCATTCAACCATTGCTCTAGTGCCGTCCCACAAGAATTGCAGCATATATGTGGTGCCCAGCTCTTGTCCTGGTCTCCTATCTTGCAGCCAAAATACAAGTTGTAGGCTTTCTTAATCATTCCTGTTATCCTCCTTTTTTGTGAGATAAAAGTTATTTCACCGCAGATATAGCAGAAATTATCTGCTTTATTCACACAAGTTCGAGGCATTACTGAGTAGCCTATATAAGCATAAAACGAAATGTAAAGACGCTGTTGAACTACAATAAGCTACAGATACTGCAGCTTTTATGCAGTGAAGTCTGAAGTGATGCAATTAAAGGCTAATATTGCATCATCTCAGTATACATGCAATTTTCTATTGGTCACCAGTATCAATTGCGCAATATGCAGCTGAAGTTGCATCATAATTTTGAATGGCTTACGTCATTAGATGGGTGAATATATCATGGAAACTAGAGCCAATCAACATTTTTTAGGGTCATTTTCGTTTTCAGCACCCCAAAATTATGTAAGATTAGCTAATTTTATGCCCAAAACTTTTTACCTGTTGAACAGTGTAACCTCTGTCTCGTATCTTTTGTTATTTTCTTCTTATGGATCTGCTCCAAGTCCAATATTTCTTTTAAGAGCCCACTAACCCTCTCTCTTCTTTCCTTTTTCTTCCTTGCTCCTGCCACAATCAAGATTCCTCTTATGAATACCTTATGGCTTTCCCAGACTGTAGCTATCGATACTTCCTTTGTTTCGTTCTCCTTAAAGTATATCTTAATCTCTTTCTCGATTTTCTGAACTACATCCTCATCCAGAAGAAGACCCTCATTTAACCTCCACCCTAATCCTCCCGTCCACCTTCTTCCCCATCCCATTTTCATTACAACCGGGGCATGGTCCGAGAACGTCCTTGTCTCTATGTCAATTTTAACCAGATGATCTATAAGTTGATGGTCTATTAAGATGTAATCTAATCTCGAGTATATCTCATGTGCATTAGAGAAGAAGGTATAGTCTCTGTCTTTCATATGCTTTATTCTCCAAGTGTCCACTAGTTGATATTCATGCATCACTTTTTTCAGAGCTCTCAGAGACCTACTCCCCTCTCTTTGCACAGAAGAGGTATTATCCTTTTGTGGGTCCATACAGAAATTTAGGTCTCCAGCTACTATCAGGCGCCCTGTTTTAAATTCCATTAATTTTTTCAGCAGACCCTTCATATACATCTCCGGGTTTTTATTAGGGCAGTATATATTGGCTAAAGTACACTCAATCCCCTGGAGTCTACCTTTTAAGAATAAAAACCTCCCCTCAGGGTCGATTCTTCTATCCTCCAGCTCAAATCTCATATTCTTTGCAAAACCTATTGCAACCCCTTTTGCTCTTTTAATTGGAGAATCTGCATAATACCATGTTGGATAGTGTTTGGATTTCAATTTCACGTTTACCTCTATCTCAAAATGCGTCTCCTGTAAAAATACCACTGACGTAGCCCTATGATGTAACTCATTAAACAACCTAAATCTCTTCCCTGGACAACTCAACCCGTTCACATTATAGGTTATAAACTGTATTTCTTCATCATTCCCAATTTAACTCCATCTCTCTTCCGGATTGCCTCTTCCTCTTTATCCCTTCTGTCCTGCAGAGTATTAACCCAATATCTCCTCCCCTCCCTCCCTCCTGCCCAACTCTTGTCCCCCCTCCCTCCCCCCTCCCCTCCCTCCCCCCACCCAACTCCCACTCCCATCCCCTCTCCCTCCCTCCTATTCTCCCAACCCCCCCCCTCCCTCCCCCCTCCCCCCCCTCTTTTTAGGCCTAACATTTGCCTACTAATCATTTATGGATTATAAAGTCCACTTTTGATTTGATCCTTGGGCTAAGACTCCGTCCATGGACGACTTTCCCCTTGTCTAACCTCCCCATTATCCCCCAAGCCCCTCCCAGATTTATCATAGGCACAGAAAAGAAAAACGAGGGCGATAGGTTGGGGATAGAAAAAGACAAAGGAGACCTATTTCTCTTCCTCTATCCCCTCTCTCCCCCTCTCCCCTCCCCTCCATCTCCTCCCCCCCACACATTGCCAGTCCTCTTTTCTCTTTATTCTATTTTCCCATTGTTCTTCTTCCCAGCCAGAAATTTCCATTCTTTGGATTTTTAAACTGTCACAGAAATTTTTCAAATCTTCTGGGAACCTGAGGTATGCTGTAGTCCCATTTTTCCATCCTATTAGGCATTCGGGAGTCCCCCATCTATATTGCACATTTTGTTCTTTCAACCTTTCCAATAGGGGTCTCAAAATTCTCCTTCTCCCACAAAGTCTCTGGAGCCCAGATCCGCATATATCTGTATATCTCCTCCTTCATACTTAATTACTGATTTTCCCTTGGACTTCTTCCAGATTTTTTCTTTATCCCGAAGTTCATAGAATTTAGCTAATATATCTCTCGGCCTTTCTTCCCCCAGGTTTCTCAGAGATTTTCCTTTTCTAAAGGTTCCTTCTATTTTAGACCCATCCATTTCAGAGCTGTCTGTTATAGTATTAAATATTTTACAAACCACCTCTTGCAGATTTTCTCCCTTTGAGTTTTCTGGGACCCCACGTATCAAGATGTTTCCTCTTCCTGTCTTTATTTTCTTGTATCTCAACCTTATATAGCAGTTTTTCTTGGGCTTTCCCTATATTAGTTAGTTTTTTTTCAAGTTCAGATATAGCCTGGGTCTGAGCTTTAACTTTTTCCTCCGTTTCCTCAACTCTCTCCAACAGGTGTCCCAGATCACTGCGAATATTTACCATTTCTTGTTTTATTGTTTTCTCCAGTTCTTTAAACATTTCTGCCATTTCTTTTTTATGTAGCTTTCTCGGGTTTAGCTTCCTGAGTCCCAGGTCTGAGCAGCCTCTTACTCCAGTCCTTCCTTAATTATCCCACCTGCTGCTGGTCACAAGTGGGAAGCAAAACCAAGCTTGGATCCTTCACTGCCAAGGTGGCCCAGAAAACCCAGCTGGGAAGCTAAACCCGAGAAAGCTACATATAGAAATCACTCTGTAAGAGTCTCCAAAGAACCCAGAACAGAAGATTATTAAACAAGTGATTGGTCTGGAAGGAGATATTGTAAAAACAGTTGGACACAAGACAAGATTTGTCAAAATTCCCAATGGGCATATATGGGTGGAAGGTGACCACCATGGGCACAGCTTTGACAGTAATGCTTTTGGACCAGTGCTTATAATTGGAAGAGACTTAGCAGTGATTGCTTGAGAGAATATTCTTCCGGAATTCTGCATAAGAAGTGAACATCGAATTGGGGCCACTGTGGTGGCTGAGGGGATTTGAGAAAGCACTTTGCCACCCTGAGAGAAGGTTTTTTCATGAAACACCTGGCTGACCTTAAGGGGACCCCCCTGGACCTGGCTTAGGAGTCTGTGATGACCCACCGTGAGGGAGATGCCTGGCTGCCTAACTTCTGATGTATCCATTGCCTGTGATGCATGATCACACATGCGCATAACCCATGCGTTTCCGGTGAGTGCGCATTTCTGTTAATTTGACAGAGTGGAGGCCGTGGGAATTCGTATTTCTACAGTGTACTATTGTGGATACTTGATTATCACCTTATTGACTTTTCATCTTTCTAAGCGCTGCACTCTGTTGTTTTGAGATTTTGTTGTTTATGTTTGAGGCATTATGGTTGCCTAAAGTGTTCCAGCTGCTGACATTTATGAGAGCGCTCACTATTTTTTATATTTATTTCATTTGATGCAGTATAACTACCTGTGTCTTGTTGCTGTGCTTAATCTTGCCATGGTGTATGACATGTAACTGTCTTCCAAAACCTCACATTAGTAACAGAGTTTGGCTGTTCCTTGCCTAGTTTTAAGCCTCCTCTAACACAGCTGTTTTTGTTTTTCTGTTTCAGTTAATGACTGTGTGTTTCCTTCTACATATGAAATTGATAATCATTAGCATTTGTTTGGTATAATTAATTAATCATTCACCTGACACAAATCCTACAAAATCCTTGATTTTGTGCGAGTGTACAAAGTGTGCAATTGTAAGCACCAATGCTTGTTTGAAGCCAAAGGGTAGTCACACCAAATACTGATTTTATTTAGATTTTTCTTCTGTTTACTCACATTGCATTCCATAAATTGATAAATATAAACATATTTTTGAAAGCTTTTTTACTTTACAGCATTTCTTAATACTTGCCTAAAACATCTGCACAGTACTGTAGCTGAAGCATGCATGGTCACAACTCACTAATCTTATAACCTCCAAAAACGGTAACAATACAGGGAATGCATCCTGTATCTGCAGCCATGGCATAGGGAAATGAAGCTCACTGAATTTCAACCAGCTGAACACTAGTTGGGTATGGCCACCTAAAATGGCTATAAACTCTTCTGGTCTTCCTCAGAAGATCTTGGTTTAGCCCCCAGAGAGCCCTGACCGTAACATCATTGAGTGTCTGGGATTGCATGAAGAGACAGAAGGATTTGAGGCAGCCTACTTCCACAGAAGATCTATGGTTAGTTCTCCAAGATGTTTGGAACAACCTACCTACCAAGTTCTTTCAAAACTTTGTGGAAGTGTACCTTCCACACGTTTGGTCATACCAAATATTGATTTGGATTTCTCTTCTGTTCATTTACAAATTTTTTAACTCATTTTGTTAATTGATAAAAATAAATTATTAACACTATATCCAAAATCTTTCTTAATTTATAGCATTTTTTCACACCTGCCTAAAACGTTTGCATAGTACTATGTATATACTGTGTGTATAAAGAGCAGTGATTTAATTTTCAACATGTCGATGAAGCGCAGTCCATCTTCCTCAACAGTCAGACAACTGTCTTGAGAAAGATGGACTGAGCTTCATTGAAACATTTTGAAAGTTTTTGTGTAATATATATATGTGTATATATATATATATATATATGTATATATATAGTTAGGTCCATATATATTTGGACACAGGCACAATTTTAATTTTTTTCAGGTATTTGCCAAAACATATTCAAGCTATAGTTATATAATGGTTATGGGCTGAAAGTGCACACTCTCAGGTTTTAATTTGAGGGTATGTACATCCAAATTGGAGGAAGGGTTTAGGAATTGCAGCTCTTAAGAGTAGCCATCCCCCCTTTTTCAAGTAATCAAGTAATTAGACAATTGAATCAAAAGCTGTTTCATGGCCAGGTGTGGGCTACTCCTTCATTATTCTTCATCAATTAAGCAGTTAAAAGGTCTGGAGATGATTCTAAGTGTGCTATATGTAGTTGGAATCTATTGCTGTGAACCTACATCATGCGTTCTAAGGAGCTGTCTATGCAAGTTAAACAGGCCATTGTAAGGCTTCAAAAACAAAACAAATCCATTAGAGAGATAGCAGCAACATTAGAAGTGGCCAAATCAACAGTTTGGTACATTCTGAGGAAAGGAAAACGCACTGGTGAGCTCATCAGCATAAAAAGGCACGGAAGTCCACGGAAGACAACAGTGCTGGATGATCGTAGGATCCTCTGTATGGTAAAGAAAAACCCATTCACAACATCCAGACAAGTGAAGGACACTCTCCAGGAGGTGGGTGTATCATTGTCAAAGTCTACAATCAAGAGAAGGCTTCACGAGAACAAATACAGAGAGTTCACCGCAAGGTGCAAACCACTCATAAGCCTGAAGAATAGAATAGCCAGATTAGACTTTGCCAAAAACCATCTAAAAAAAGCCAGACCAGTTCTGGAAAAGCATTCTTTGGACGGATGAAACTAAGATTAATCTGTACCAGAATGACAGGAAGAAAAAAGTGTGTGGAGAAGGCTTGGAACAGCTCATGATCCAAAGAACACAACGTCACGTGTAAAACATGCTGGAGGCAGTGTGATGGCATGGGCATGCATGGCTTCCAGTGGCAGTGGGTCATTGGTGTTTATTGATGATGTGACAGAAGACAGAAGCAGCCGGATGAATTCTGCAGTGTTTAGAGATATACTGTCAGCCCAGATCCAGCCAAATGCAGCAAAGTTGATTGGATGGCGCTTCACAGTACAGATGGACAATGATCCAAAACACACTGCAAAAGCAACCCAGGAGCGTTTGAAGGAAAATAAGTGGAATATTCTGCAAGGGCCAAGTCAGTCACCTGATCTCAACCCAGCTGAGCATGCATTTCACTTGCTGAAGACAAAACTAGGCAGAAAGCTTTAGTTAGAGCCTGGCAAAGCATCAGAAAGGAGGAAACCCAGTCTTTGGTAATATCCATGGGTTCCAGACTTAGGGCAGTCATTGACAGTAAAGGATTCTCAACAAAACATTAAAAATTAACATTTTATTGATGATTATATTCATTTGTCCAATTACTTTTGGTCCCTTGAAAAAGAGTGGATGGCTACTCTTAAGAGCTGTAATTCCTAAACCCTTCCTCCAATTTAGATGCATATACCCTCAAATTAAACCTGAAAGTATGCACTTTCAATTTATATTAATTATATAACTATATCTTGAATATGTTTTGGTAAAATACTTGAAAAAAACTAAAATTGTGCTGTGTCCAAATATATATATGG